ATGACGAAGGCGGGACTGATAAAGTTGCCGCTTGCTCTACTGTCTATTATAATCCTAGCGCTTTTCCCATTGATTTTGGTAGTGATTATAAGGTGTTTCCAAAGGTTTATTCCGGTAGGTATAGTTCCGTTCGCTATTCTGATTACCTAGTTTAGGGACCTAGACTCCGGCCCCTGCAAGGGTCCCGTGTATTACTATATAGGGCCGTCTAGTTTTTTAACTGTCCTTTTTTAGATCCTTAGTCGCTTAAGCCCGGCGTATCTTCGTAGAGTTCGCTGTTATCGCTGTTAACTAGTAGATCGTCTTCTGGGAATTCCTCTATAATCCTTTAGAGTTCTTCCTTAGTAGGGTTTTCCTATTTATTCGCGTTACGGACTTGCTTAGCCGATTGCTTCTTAGGCTTGCGTAGGAACTATCCTGTAACTAGTTTCTTACTTTAATAGATCTGGCAATTGTCGTCGTAATATGTAGTCTAACTAAGCGTTCTATGCTCAGGTTCTTTTCGGGCTACTACTAACGTAGTTCGATTAGTAGTAGCGGCTTCTTTCCCTTTGTCCTTGTTTCGCGGATTCTGCGGGCAGCTGTATCCGGGTTCCTATTTGTTACTATAGTAGATATAGAGGTTCTTGTTAAACCTTTCCTTTTATTAATCGGTCTACTTGCTGTAGGCTTTGCGGTTGTTCTTTCCTTTTTTGCCTTTATCCTTGTTATCCCGGGATAAGCTGTCTAATTCTATGGCGTTACCTCCTTCTTGGGTGTGTCTTGGCCTTATAGATCGAGATGTATTGGCTTGCTTATCCTAGCCGCGCTGTAAGCGGCGGCGGTCTAATATAGTAGCGAGTTAAATTATTTCCGTAAGGTTATCGGGTTCCTCGTAGTAGGTTATTGCTTCCTAAATTTCGTCCTTTAATCCTTAGGCGTAGAACGTCCTGAGCGTGTAGTCGGTGTGATGTCCGGCTACGTATACCGCGTTCTAGAAGTCTGTAGTATAATCTAATACTAACTTCTTCTATTTTAGGGTTTGAAGCGTTCTTGTGGCCTTACGGGTTTCGTCGATGTCCGTAAAAGCTTCTTTAAGGTACTTAACGAAAGTTCGGTAGTCGTTAAAGACCTCCTAAGTTCGATTAGTCTATTCCTACTGCTGTTTTTCCTAGCGTTCTCGCTTTATTAGACGGAACTATTTTTCCGCTGCGCCGCGTAGGTAAGTACTAGCGTATAGGACCTTTTCTTCGTCGTCGGCGAATTATCCGCGCGAGAAGTGGAGGTAGTCGTCTAATTGAGTAAGGAAGTTCTGGGTCTTGTGCCGGTCTCTATAGTAGAGATTAGGCTTTAGAACCTTAGTATAGGATATAGCTAGTATAGCTAGGAGTGACGTAGCGGCGGGTACGGACGCAGGTTAAACCGGTTAAGCTCCCTATAGTAGGGCTACTAGGGCTGTGTTTTCCTGCGCTGGCGGACCCGTCTATAGAACTTACCCTTGGTTAATGCGGGCTCGAAGGCGTGTATTCTCCTATATCTAATCGTTTAGTTGTGACTGGAGGTTAGCTATTTGTCCCTACATACCTTATATTATAGCGAAGATATCGTCTAGAGTCGTAGGGTTCCTTTGCTGCTATTACTCCTAGGGGATACTGCTGCCGTCGTTTATATCGACTGTTAACATCTTATCCTATCTAAGTTAGATAGGACGGGGTAATACTTTACTAATTAATCTTAACTCGGTCTTAAGTCTTCCTTCCTTCTTATAAGAACGGTAGTTAAAGTGTAACGAGGCCTCTTTAGCCTAGGCGTTAGAATTACCTAGCGGGTGAATAGGTTCGAAGGATTTACCTTAAAGGATAAGAAGTATAGGAAGTTAAGAGATAAGTTACGTGAATATCGGGGTAGGCGTGTTACTATTAACCTTTAGTAGAGATTGATACTTTAAGTTAACTACGAAGGTCCTATCTACTGTTTAGGGAGCGTAGTCTAAATATATATAGGAGATGCTAATAATCTAGTATTACTATGCGTCGCCTAGGCTCGTAAGGGCGATAGTTTGCCTAGTATTGCCCGAGCTACGGAGGGCGATAGGTGGGGCTTACGTGACCGATCGTTACTTTTCCGATAAGCGTCTTTCTACAAGTCGATAACTACTTTCTATCTCGTAAAGCGGATACGATAAGTCTCTTATCCTTAATCGTTTTGCCCTGTCGGTTTATTGCTTCTCGTCCCTGTGGTCGTTAATCCCTTGTAGGCTTTTCTAGAGTTGTTGTCTATTGGCTAGGCCCTTGTGGGGTGTATTCCCGTATGGGCTTCCTAGGGTTGTGGCTTTTAGTTCCCTTACGGCTTTGCCTAGTACGTGTCTGCTGGTACCTTGCGGGACGCGAGTCCTTGCGGTTACTAAGCCCTTGAGGTCTCCGGGCCCGTATGGGCCTTCTTCCTATAAGGTCTTTCCGACCCTGCGGGTTGGTTTCCTTTATAGTCTATAACAGGTAGTTAAGTAGGGATATAATTCGATATAACTTTAGTATAGCCTTATCGGGTTTATTCTTACTTAATACTATACCTGTAGCGGTTCTCTAGCAGACTAGGTAGTACCCGTAGCTGAAGAGAATGCTATAGGCTTTAAGGAACGTCTAGGGAGCCGCGTTAAACGCTTCGGTAATTATCTCTTGCGTTATAGCGTCGGGCCTAGGGGCGGTTCCTTTAATTTAGGAAGAGTATACTCGTTCTAGTTCTATAGAACTTAGGCTAGGCTAGTCCTAGTTCGTAGGGCTATAGCTTTCCTAGTTGAAAGGTGGTGCTGTAGGCGGCGGAGGAAATAGGCTAGCTCTTAACGCGGCGTACTTTCCTGTAAAAGAATCTGCTAATCTATTATCCTGCGCTCGTATCTATAGGATAGAGACGTAAGAATTAGGTTTAGTATAAGATATTGCCTTGTATATAGTATCGGGCGTATTCTTTAGTAGGAATTAGTTCTAGTGCGTTCGTTTAGCTCTCTTTACCGCTGAGAGAAAGGTATTACGTCTTGTGTAGTATTGTTCCCTATGCGTAGGGGTTAGGAGGCGAGAGTATAGTCTATTAGCGCGTCCTAGGGCGCGTCGGAGGTTAGTAAGTTCCTCTAACTACTACGCTTTAGACTGAGCTCCTGGTTTAATACGTAGAATAGTAGTATCCGCGGCGTAGGTTATTGCTTGTTCTAAGCTTCTCCCTAGTTCGTCGAGCGCTGGGATAGTAAGGTTACTTCCGTTAACTATTTCCCGAGATATTTTACTAGGTGGCCCTAGTAGGTTGACGTCTTGTAGGGTATTATCTACTAGGGTCTCTAATTAATATTATACTATTTCTTGAAATTTAGGCTAGTTAGCCCTCCGTGTATTAAACCGGGTTATTGTTAGCTTAGTCGATTTAGTAGAGCGGGTTTCTAGGTCGATAGTAAATAGAATAGGGCGGTGGTCCGAACCGAGGCTCGGGGTAGTTTACTAGCCGTTTACTCTTCTTACTAAAGAAGGGTGTAACGAGGCCTCTTTAGCCTAGGCGTTAGAATTGCCTAGCGGGTGAGTAGGTTCGAAGGGTTTACCTTGAAGGATAAGAAGTATAGGAAGTTGAGAGATAAGTTACGTGAAGGATCGGGTGTAGGCGTGTTACTATTAAACTATAAGTATAGATTGATACTTTAAGTTGACTACGAAGGTCTTATCTACTGCTAGAGAGCGTGGTCTATATATATATAGGAGATGCTAATAATCTGGATCATGCCTTTGGATCATGATATTGGATCAGGTATATAGATTAGTTCTGATCTATTGGCCTGTGCGTAGGGATCGTCCTAGGTTATGTGACTTTTCGTGCTACTTTTCTGACGACCGGTTTCCTGTAGCTTAATAACTAACTTCCCTTCGTTAGAGCGGACGCGATAAGTTCCTTGTCCTTGATCGCTCTGTGAGTCTGTTGTCGGCCTACTGCTTTTTGCCCTTGTGGACGATAATCCCCTGTGGGCTTCTTGGGGTTGTGGCCTTAGTTCCTTTGCGGCTTTGCCTAGTACGTATCTGCTGGTGCCCTGCGGGACGCGGGCCCTTGTAGTTACTAAGCCCTTAAGGTCTCTAGGCCTGTGTGGGCCTTCTTCCTATAAGGTCTTCTCGACCCTGCGGGTTGATTTCCCTTATAGTCCGTAATACTATCCCCCTCCTTAAGGATCTTCGGCCCGAAGATTTCCCTTTGGTTATATATCTAGGAGTTCGTGTCGTTTCTTTATCCTTTTCTTTTTGTAAGTCTTTCTACTATGGCCGGCGAGAAGCGTAAGCGTAACGACTAGAAGGCTGAGCGTAAGTCTCTAGCTTCTAAGATTAATCTTCTTGGAGATACGATGCCTGTTCCTTGTACGGAATGTATGTTGTGGAACGTTCGTTATAAGGGAAGCGATCGTGAGGTCGTTTATAAGATGGATTTGGGTTATAAGCGCTGCGGTAAATATACGCGTCGGGGCCTGATAGGTTGTGATAGTGGTGGTCTAGAGGATTCTGATTATAGGTTCCTTCTTCCCTTCTTTACGCAGTGTTAACTTGTCTTAGTTGCCCGTCTGCGGCGTGCCCTGGATAAGACGGAGTCCGAGGAGCAAATGGTACTGGATTTGTTGTAGAAGAATATGAGCCGTCTTCAGCGCGTTCGCAAGCAGCGTGATTTACTAAAGCGTCGTAGTAATCTGATGATTTCCAAGAAGGCGAAGACGGTCGAGGATCTAGAGGAGATTGAGCGCCTTAAGGCTGCTCGTGAGGCTGGGGATGCCGTTGACCCTGAGGATAAGGGTAGCGATCGGCATGCAAAGCGCTTGCGTGGCGCGTCCTTAGCTGATACCTCTGTAGGTCCTACGGATGTAGGTTCTCCTAGGGCTGGTTCTGCTGCGCCTCCTAAGACGTTGGAGCCGGTGGATTTCGCGCGGATGCCTGCCTTCTAGGAGGTTGATCCGTTTCCTGGCGAATTTGACGTGTCGGCTTTAGGCGATCTGGATTTCGGCGGTGGAATTCTCTAATGAGTTCTTGATATCCGTCGTAGTTCTTAGGTGGTTCCTAGGTATTATCCTAATTTCCTTCCTATTTTAGGAGATAGCGGAATTGGCCGTTGACGTGTCCGCTGTCTAGGACTTTCTCGACTATCTATTCTTGGTTTTCGTCGGCGTTAGGGTTTTCCGGTATTATTTCTTCTATCTGCTGTACTGCGGTGGCGTTTTCAGGTGCCGATTCTAGCAGTGCGATATGGAAGACTAGATGGATTTTTATTGTATCCGGTAGTTTGAGACGATAGTTAACTTTTCCAATTTGTTCCTCAATTTCGAACGGTCCCGTTTTCTTAAAGTCTAATTTGTTATTGGGCCGTTTTGTCCGGATATTTTTTCTAAGGAGGTAAACTTTATCCCCCTTCCTAAAGGTCGGTGCCTCCTGGTGCCGCCTATTGTAGTATTTTGATATTAGAAATCTATTGTATTCTATGTCGAGGCTTAACTGTCTGTATAGTTCTTTTAGTTAGTCTGCCTTCAGGATTCCTTTCTGGGCAAGGGACTAGCTTGGCTGCGGCTTATTATAAGCCGTTGGTTTGTATCTATAATTGGTATAGAACGGCGACTCCTAGGTGGTAGTTGCTTTGGCGCTGTTATACGCGAATTGGGTAAGAGGTAAGAGTTCTACCTAGTTATCTTATGCGTAATTAACGTAGCAGCGTAGGTGCTGTTCTAGGGTCTAGTTTATTCGTTCCGTTTATCCGTCTGTTTGCGGATGTGCCGTTGTAGATATCTTGTGTTTTGAACTAAGCTAACGGGTGAGAGTCTGCTAGAATCGGGATGTAAATAGTTTGTCCCTATCTAATACTAGTTCTTCTGGTAACCCGTAGTTGCCGAGGATTGTCCTGAGGAACGTGTAGGCGAGTTCTTCCGCGTTTACCGTCTTGAGGTAAGGTAGATAGTACGCGTACTTAGTGAGCCTATCGACGATGACGAGTATCGAATCGTATTTTACCCTGGTAAGTAGCTCCTTCGAGGGTGGCAGATCCGTAATAAAATCTAACGAGATTAATTACTATGGCCGTTCAGGTGCCTTAAGCGGCTGTAGTAGTCCGTGGGGAGCGTGTCTCGCGGCTTTGCTTCGGATGTAAAGATCGTACTGCGAGATTACTCGTTGGACTGTTTTCCTAAGGCCTGGGAAGTAGAAGTGCCGGGTGATTCGTTCGATTGTCTTGTCGGTTCCTTGGTGACCGTGTGCTGGTGGCTTATGGATGTCTTTGACTAGGCCTTCTCTGAGTATTCTTGGTACGTAGACTAATCCTAAGAACAGGATTGTTCCGTCTGTATCTTTACTAACCCTCGGGTCGTCTTTTATATCTATAAGTTCTTGTGCTATCGTATCGTGGCTGTATTCCTGTCGAATTTTCTCGAGCTAGGAATTGTTTTCGAGCCTGATTGTCGGTGCTAATTGCCTGCTTGGAACGTATCTATCTGGTTCTATGTCGAACTAGTATCGTTCCGTGCGGTATACCGGGGCGACTGCCCTTGTAGGTTCTAAGGAGCTATCTTCGTTTTGCTGTAGTACCGCTGGCTGAATACCGGGTTTTCCTGCGAGGTGATCGGCTCTCCTGCTTAACGTATCGGCTCTAGCGTTCTCTGATCCCTTTCTGTAGGTGATCTTTATGTTATAGGACGCTAATTCTTTAGCCTACCTAACCTGTCTTCGGGTTAGTTCCTTGGTGGTAGTGAAGTGAGTTAGGTTCTTATGATCGTAATAGACTATAACCTGGTATTTTGCCCCTTCAAGGTAGTGTCTCTATTCTTTAAAAGCCGTAACAATGGCTAGGAGTTCCTTGTTATGGACATCGTAATTTAGCTCCGGCGGGGTTATCTTTCGTGAGTAATACGCGATGGGGTGGAGTTTTCCTTATTCGTCTGGCTGACTAATATAAGCCCTAATAGCGTAATTAGAAGCGTCTGTTTCGACAACGATTGGTAGTTCCGGATTGTAGATCCTAAGAACGGGAGCTTTATAAAATATCCGTTTTAGCGAATCGAAGGCGATTTGTTGAGCTTCTCCCTAGTTGAATCCGTGCTCTTTTCGTACGAGTCTCGTGAGGGGTTCTGAGACTTCGGCGTATTTCTAGATAAATTTCCGGTAAAAGTTAGCAAATCTAAGGAAGGACTGTACTTCTTTAACGGTTCTGGGTACTGGCTAGTCTCGTATAGTATCTAGCTTCTTTTCGTCTATCTCTACGTGTCCTGGTGAGATGATAAAGCCTAGAAATTCCGTCCTTTGGACGTGCTATTTGTACTTTTCTGGTGCGACTTGTAGGTCTTTGCCTTGTAGTGCCTGGAATACTTTCCTGACGTGTTTTTTGTGCTCTTCTAGGGTTTCCGAATAGATGAGTATATTATCTAGGTAAGCTATATAGAAGACGTCTAAATAGTCGCGTAACGTATCGTTGACTAGACTTTAAAACGTTCCTAGGGCGTTCGTAAGACCGAAAGGTATAACCGTGTACTCGTAATGTCCTAGACGTGTCCTAAACGCGGTTTTCTATTCTTCCCCTTCCTTTATGCGTACTAAATAGTAGCCTTCTCGAAGGTCGAGTTTAGTGAAGTATTTTGCCGTCCGTAGCTTATCTTGAAGCTCGGTAATTAACGGTAATGGATACCGGTTTTTGATGGTGATATCGTTTAACTGACGATAATTAACGTAGAGGCGTAATTTACTATTCTTCTTTGGAATAAAGAGAATTGGGTATCCGGCTGGCGAGCTTGATGGCCTGATGTAGCCGCGTTCGAGGTTCTTGTCTAGGTAGTCCCTAAGTGCTTCGCTTTCCTTCTCGGATAGTGTATAAATGGGCTTAAACGCTGGCTGCGTGCCTGGTAATAAAGGTATCTCGTGATCCTATGGCTTATGTTCCGGGAGTTGGCCTTTGCCTTGTTCTTGGAAAAGGGCTTGGTAATCCTAGTATTCTTCTGGTACCGTTTCTAATTCTAGAATGGGCGGTTCCCGCTCTCGCTTTGGAGGCGTACTAGGCTGGTATATTTCTTTCGCAGGTATAGGTTTTCCCCCTGGTGGGTGACCTTCCTTGATCCTGGTTGGATCGTCTCCGAGGGCCGGTTTTGGCCCGTCGGTTTTTGGCCTACTGGCCTGTATGTGTGCTAGAATTCGTTTTTCCGTTTCTTGACTGGGCTTTAAATACATTATGTAGATCTTTTCTCCCCTGCGTCTTATTCGTTTAAGCGCTGCGGCGGAGATTTCCTTGATTTCGATTGGTTCGGAGGTTTCGGTATTTTGTTCTGAGGGATCCTTTTGGGAAGCGCGCGTACTGTTCGGTCCGTTTTGAACGCTCGGTCCTCTGGAGCTCTGGTACTTATAGCTCTGGCTTTTCTGGTTCTGGCTGCTTTGGCTCTGACTCTTAAGCTCTGGCTTTTCCTTCCTCTGGCTCTCTGGGCTCTCGCTTGCGTAGCTCTCGGTTTTCCGCTGGGCTTCTATAAGGTGTCGGTTACAACCCTCGTCTGGGAATGTGATTTCCCCTGTTCTCCATCGAATGTAAGGTTTATGTGTCCTTAGCTATAGTATTCCTAGGATCACATCGTAGGAAGCTATAGTGGTAACGTCTAGATTGATTTTCTCCTTGTGTTGTCTAATAGTAAGAGTCGACTGGTTGGTTTTAATTCGTACCCATCCTTTTCCGTAAGTAGAGGGTGTACCATCGACCGTATTAAGCGCGTAAGGCTCGTCCTTTACCTGGTATAGCAAGTGGTTTTTGATAACAAACGTAGGGCTTACGAAGTTACCACTTACTCCGCTATTAATCATGATTCTAGCGCTTACTTTGTTGATTTTAGCCGTAATCACAAGGTGTTTCTAAAGATCTATTCCGGTAGGTATGGTTCCGTTCGCTATTCTGATCGCCTGGTTTAGGGACCTAGACTTCGGCCCCTGCAAGGGTCCCATTAGTTGCTATGCAGGGCCGTCTAGTTTTTTAACTATCCCTTTTCAGAACCTTGACTGCTCGATTGAGGCGTGTTGTCGTAGAAATCGCCGGTATCGCTATCGACTAGTAGGGAGTCCTCTAGTAGTTCTTCCACGAATCTATAGACTTCTTTTTTAGTAGGTGTTCCCTACTCGTCCGTTTTACGCGTTCTTTTAGCGTTTTGTTTCTCGGGCTTATGTGGAAACTATCCTGTTACTAATTTTTCGCTTTAGTGGATTTGGTAGTTATCGTTATAGCATGTAGTCTAACTAAGCGTTCCGTGCTTAGGCTCTTTCCGGGCTGCTACTAACGTAGTTCGATTAGTAGCAGCGGCTTCTTTTCCCTTATTCTTATTCCGCGGATTCTGCGGGCAGCTGTATCCGGGTTCCCATTTGTCGCCATAGTAGATACAAAGGTTTTTATTAAATCGTTCCTTCTGTTAATCAGTCTACTTGCTGTGGGCTTTACGGCTGTTTTTTCCTTTCCTGCCCTTGTCTTTATTGTCCCGGGATGAGCTGTCTAATTCCATAGCGTCACCTCCTTCTTAGGTGTGTCTTAGCCTTATAGATCGAGATGTATTGGCTTGCTTATCCCATCCGCGCTGTAAGCGGCGTCGGTCTAGCATAGTAGTAAGTTGAATTATTTTAGTAAGGTTTTCGGGTTCCTTATAGTAGGTCATTACTTCCTGAATTTCGTCCTTCAGTCCTTGGGCGTAGAACGTCCTGAGTATGTAGTCGGTGTAGTGTCTAGCTACGTATACCGCGTTCTGGAAGTCCGTAGTGTATTCTAGTACCGACTTCTTTTGTTTCAGGGTTTGAAGCGTTCTCGTAGCCTTGCGGGTCTTATCAATATCCGCGAAAGCCTCCTTAAGGTATTTAACGAAAGTCCGGTAGTCGTTGAAGACCTCCTAGGTTCGATCGGTCTATTCCCACTGTTGTTTTTCCCGACGTTCCCGTTTTATTGGGCGGAACCATTTTTCCGCTGCGCCGCGTAGGTAAGTGCTAGCGTATAGGACTTTCTCTTCGTTATCGGTGAATTGTCCGCGGGAGAAGTAGAGGTAGTCGTCTAACTGGGTAAGGAAATTCTGGGTCTTGTGCCGGTCTCCGTAATAGAGATCAGGCTTTAGAACCTTAGCGTAGGACGTAGCCGGTGTAGCTGCAGGTAGTGCAGCAGCGGGTGTGGGCGTAGACTGAGCCGGTTAGTCTCCTTGTGGTGGAGCTGCCGGGTTTGTAGCTTCTAGCGCTAGTAGGCCCGTTTGCGGAGTTTGTCCCTGATTGATGCGGGCTCGGAGGCGGGCATTCTCCTGCATCTAATCGTTTAGTTGCGACTGGAGGTTGGCTATCTGCCCCTGCATGCCTTGCATCATGGCGAAGATGTCGTCTAAGGTTGTAGGGTTTCTCTGCTGCTGCTGTTCCTGGGGAATGCTGCTACCGTCGTTTATATCGACTGTCGACATCTTATCCTGTCTGGGTTAGATAGGACGGGGTGATACTTTACTAATTAATCTTGACTCGGAATTGAGTCTTCCTTCCTTCTTACAAGGAGGGTGGTTAAAGTATAACGAGGCCTCTTTAGCCTAGGCGTTAGAATTGCCTAGCGGGTGAATTGGTTCGAAGGGTTTACCTTAATTAATTAATTAATTAATTACTATTTAACGTCCGGCGGGTCTACGCGCGGTTCGACTATATACTTACTACCGTGTGCCCTGTAGCCTCCCTAGGGGCATAGGACGTGCCACGCTGCCTACGGCTTACGCTGTTAGGGTGGCATATCGCGGACGAAGCGTCTCTGTAGGCTCTTTTCGCAGTGAGTTTTCCTCTAACTCCTGCTCGTGTGTCTTCTTTGCTAGGGTGCTGGGCCTTTAAGGCTAGAAAGGGAGAAAGAAATAAATGTAAAGATAGGAAAGAAGAGAAAAAAGGTAGAAGGACGGGTCTTTTCGTTAAATCCCCGCTAAAGGGGGTTCTAGGAGTGTACCTGTCTTCCTAGGACAGATGTCCGTAAAGAAGCGGGATTCCTCTGCGAACTTTGCGAAGAGAGTTGCTCCTCTTGGGGTGCTGAGGGTTATGGGGATAATGTTGCCGGGTTTTCCTTGGAGACATTTTGTTCGTTTCCGTGTAAGCCTGTAGAAGGCGAAGTGTATTTTAGTTTTCGGGCGACCGCATCGGCAGTAATTGTCTGCGTCTAGGTGGTTAAACCGTTCGTGGTATGCCTGGAAGTCCCTATGGCCTGACCGAGCTGCTAGTAGGTGGCCGAGTATTTTTCTCGGTAGGAGGAGTTCCGGAGGAGCTCCTTTTGCTAGAGGGATCTCTAGGTCCTGGTAGGATTTAGGAGCGTGTTCGTCCTACTATCTTTAGAATAGTTCTCGCGCGGTCTGTCTTACGAGCGCTCTGGATTTTGCGATAGTTAAAGGGATAGTTGGTGGGGCTGGTGCTGTAGTACTCTGTTTAGTAAGGCGGTCTGCTTCCTCGTTGCCTGGGATCCCTTGGTGCCCGGGTATCTAGCGTATTACTATTTCTCCGGGGTGCGTGTGGGGGGCGCGTCTTCTTTATTTCTATAACGTTATAAGTTGTCGGATCCTAAGGATGCTTCCTTGGCTGGTGTCTATCGGTTTACTATTTAGCGCTCTCTATGCTGCTTCTTGATTATCGAGAAGCATAAAGATGTTAGTTGCTAAACGCGTGTTAGTAAAACGGGCCGTAGCCCGTATCGCTGCTTCTATTGCGATAACTTCTGCGTCGTATACCTCTGTAGCGGAGCCTAGGCTTTAGCACCCTTCGAAGATCTTGTAGCCTCCCTGGTAACCTATATACCCTAGTCCTGTCCTGCCTGTGGTATCTTTGGATCCGTCGGTATAGAGGATAATGTCGGCTGAGGGAATTGTTTCTATCCAGCGCCTTATATGGGCGGCTGTTGTAGGACTTTTTATCTGCAGGTCTCGAATATTATATGCTGGTTTAAGTAGTAGGGGTCTCTCGTATTTAGGAAGGAGCGCTATAGCCCTAAGAAGTCTTGTTTGTCCTCTTTGCTTGAGGCGGGTAGTAAGAGGGTGTTTCTCGTCGAGGGTACGGAGCCTAGCCGCGTGCCTTAGCCGGATTGTTTCGAGAATTATCTCTGCCGGGGGGATGCCTGCTTCTCTGTTGAGTGCAGGTGTGGGTGTTGTGCGGAAAACAGGGAGCATCGCCCTTAAAGCTGTGTTGGTAGTAATGCTGAGGCGCCTAACGAGCGCTTTGCTTAAAGTTGATACTTCTTGTTTAGTCCTTTGCGAGAACCTAGTAGGCCCTGGCTACTAAGCCTCTGTACTAAAAAAGGCGACCGATATAATGCAGGCTCTTACTGCGTGGCGGAGGTATAATGCTAGTACTCTACGCTGCGTATTTCTAAGAGACCGAAGGTGTTCTAAGACTTTTATAGCCCTACTAGCCTAGTGTTCGACGTGCGTGCGAAAGGAAAGGCGCCTGTCTAGCCAGATCCCTAGCCACCTAGTGGCTTCGTTAGGGCTGATATTATAGTTTTTATATCGTAGGCGGGGATTCGTGTTGCCCGGCCCGCTCTTTCTAGTAAAGTGTTGGAGCTCGCACTTAGTAGGGTCGAAAGTAACACTATTATCTTTACCCTAGTCTAGGGCAGCTTTAAGGTTTCCCTCGAGCTTACTAGTTGCCTACTCGAGTATAGAGCCCGCTTACAAGAAAGCTATATCATCCGCGTAGCTATAGGCCTGCTTCGGGTTGTTTAATTTAAGTAGTAGCTCTATATAGAGTATAAAGAGGATCGGAGATACTGGCGAGCCTTAAGGGAGGCCGCATAGAAGCGGTTTTTCCTATATAGTTATGTCCTTAAAGCGGATCCGAGCTATCCGCTTAGAAATAAAAGATCTCGTCTAGCTGATGATTTCCTTTAGCCAGCCTTGTTCGCGGAGCCTTATTTGTAGTCGGCCCGGGAGGATAGTGTTAAATACCCCCTTAACGTCGATTATAAGTAGAGAGGCGGAGAGCTTTTGGTCTAGAGTCTTTTCGATGTCGTGTACTAGGCAACTAACAAGATCTGTAGCGGAGCGTTTAGGAAGTGCTCCGAATTGTTGTGGGTTTAGTACGTCGTAGTTGATTGATGCTAGACTGAGGCGTCTAGCGATTAATCGTTCTAGGCCTTTGCCTAGACAAGAGAGGAGTGAGATAGGTCGCCATAACCTAGGGCTAGTGAGGTCCCTTTTATTCGGTTTTAGGAGTATAACGACTTCTGCGATGCGGAATGGTTTCGGGTAGTAGCCGCTCTATAGGCATAGGTTATAGAGCTTATAGACGTAGTGTTTTATCGCTATCCAGCAGGACTGTAGTACGCGTACAGTAATTCCGTCTATTCCAGGGGCTGTATTAGAGGTGTGGATTAAAGAGTCCTAGGTCTCTTCTATAGTCGTAGTAAGGCGCACTGGTACTGGTTTTTACGGGACTGTATAGGCTGTCTGGGGATCTAGATCGTCTATTGCCGCTCTTCTTTCTAGTGTTGCTGTTCTTAGTGCTTCTGCCTTGTCATTTGCACTAATGTAGGTTATTAGGCTAATTAAGAGAGGAGGGCTTTTAAACGGGCCTGCTCTTTTATGCTAGCTGGTAATCTCGAATATGTCTCTTGTCGTATTTATGCTGGCGATCTTGTTCCTCTAGTATTCTCGTTTCGCTTGTCGAACTATAGCCTGGAGACGGTGTTTCTCTTCTATAGCGGGTCCTGTGCGGCGTACCTACCGGTATGCCGTTACCGCCTCTTTACAAGACGGGGTCTACTAGGGTGCGCCTGTCGCTCGGGTGTAAGTGTTACGGAAGCACCGGACTATATTGAGCTGAATATACTAGCTAAGTTTAGAGGTCGCTTCGTCTAAGTTATCACCTCTAATTATGTCGAGAGGGGGTAGGGTTTCTCGAATCCCTGCGGTTATTCTTAATAGGCCTTCCGCTGTAATTCTAA